ATCGGTATCATGTAATTGAAATAGATCCAAAATCTTTGACCAAACGCAAATAAGCCGCCCAAAGACCAAAGCGGCGTACTCACTGTTTTGTGGAGTCAATCGAGTCACTGTCGACCGGCCAACTGACTCACACCACAAACCCAAACTATATCAAGGCATTAAGTAGAATTAATGTACTGCTAACCTTCGTTATTGTCGATGACAACTTTACACATATATCGTTGGAGTCTAATATGAAATGCCAACAAAATCTAGACTTAGGTTAAGATGAAGCGTTGATTCCTACGATATTACTTAATTAAGATATTTATTTTACTCGAAATATTAGTCTCATTTGATATATATTTTTATCATATATTTTAATTTATTATTTAATATTTTTAGGATTTTTATAAAGTTAAAAATTAAGGTAAATAGAACTGTTTTGCAGGGGTAGTTTCGTCCATATATTGTGTATATATATGAGCGCTCTCCTCTTCCTAATAACATATCTAACACAGACTCTCTCCCTCTCTCTCTCCTTCCGTGATTCCGGCCGCCGCCAGTCTGCAAACGCCCGCCGGACAATGACGAGGGTCTACCCGAACACCGCTGCTTCGTGCGTCGATCTCCCGAGTCTTCCAGCCTGCTGTGGCGCCACCCGGGAGGATGGCGCTGTGGTGTTGACGGTGTGGCGGAAGTCTCTTCTGTTCAGCTGCAACGGGTTCACGGTGTTCGATGCCGAGGGAAACCTAGTCTTCCGAGTCGATATCTACGGCTCGGGGAGCGCCGGGGAACTCGTGCTCATGGATTCCGCCGGGAAGCCATTGGTCACCGCCCGCCGAAAGGTACGTACGACCAGCTCTGTGTGGTTCCGCGTAATGTGCATAGGAACTCCGACGATTTGTCTGAGTTAACTCAGTTCGCATCGGTTACTGACTCGCCCGGGTTTGAGTGCAGAAGCTGAGTCTGGGGGAGACCTGGCTGGTCTACAACGGGGAGGACGCCGACAACCCTCTCTACTCCGTCAAGAGGCAGGTGAGCCTGCTCCATTGCAAGGGCCTCGCGCACGTGACCCCGCTCCGCGGCGGCAGCGGCAGCGCCGGATACGGGGTGGAGGGGTCGTACTCGCGGCGGAGCTGCACGGTGTACGACGAGCGGCGGCGGGCGGTGGCGGAGATCCAGCGGAAGCAGGCCGTCAGGGGCGTCGCCTTCGGCGACGACGTCTTCCGCCTCGTCGTCCAATCGGATCTTAACACGTCTCTCGCCATGGCCATTGTGATCGTCCTAGATCAGATGTTTCGATAAGCGTGCTTCCTGATCAACGGTTGCGATTGAAGTTTGGATCAAAGGCCTCTCTTGAAGAGCCTCTTGTCGAGCCATGGTTTTCTTTTTTTATTAAACCATGGATTAATGAGAGGCACTCAATATATGAGTGTAGATAACTGCGTTTGCAATAAAAAAAATATATATATTTGGAATAGGCAGCTGTTGATGTTAATTAAATCTCTTGTCAATTTTTCCCAATAATATTTGGAATAAAAAAATATTGTTCATAAAACACATCTTCCTATTTTTCTCCTTTTAAATTCATATCAATCCAACTGTAACTTAAATAATGAAAAAAAATATATTTTTTATGTTTAACATTTTAAATTTTGATTTTCGAAAATAATCTCTCTTTAAATATATATATATATATAAATAATATTATCGATAATAATCTCATCTTCACTACTTGAAGGTGTCAACTTGTTTAGTTTATAAATATCTTAATAGTTTAATAGTTCATCGTAAATTTCAGTTTTGTCTTTTTTTCTTTTATAGAAAAGAAAAATGGATAAGAGCTTGAGAGCTTATAGAATAGAATTTACACTCGATAATGGGAAATTCTTGAGGGAGAGAAGAAGAAAAAGGATATCTTAATTCCCATGAGTTCATTATTTTGGTGTGCAAGGTTGAAGTTGGAGTGAGAAGCAACTCCCAGTTTGGTTGGCCTAACTATGTTTCCTTGTATGAGACACTGCATCAGCTCCATCTAACCCCAGAAAGGAAGTGCTTGGAGATCTTCATTGGCTTGTGCAAGCATCCACCAGAGGAGCAAACTCCAAGTGTGGCTTACAACACATTTGGATGACTTTGGTCAGTAGGGAAAGATTGGATTTCCTGCATGAATCCCTCCTCTGATTCCCTGGTCAAAGTCTTGCTTTGATTCATGACCAGAGTGACAGGAGAAGAAAGAAGAAGCTCAGCTGCGTTTATCTGCATCAAAATATCCTCAGTCCAATCGCTGCATCTCTTTCAGAAACCAGGAATCGCTTTCTCTTTTGTACACAAACTCTTTGTGTTCTATGTAAAGGATGTGGAGGGATATATCATCTGAAGGGAGACACACAAACTGCATGCATCTTCTCATTCCACTGCCGAATAGATCTGTGAAGTCAATTTGGATGAGCATTCCTTTGATGCATCACCGTGAGGTTTTGGAGCAGAGAGGGATGTGTTGTTGTTTCCAACCTAAAACAACACCTAGAGAGGGAAGTAGTCAATGAATGATCTTTCATTCCATGTGTCCCTAAGGTTTGTTCTTGTATTATCCTTATATGGGCTACAAGCACAAAGCTCGACTCATGGGCTTCACAAACACCATTGACACACTCTTCGCCCAAGAGGAGCTCCAAAGAATCATCATCATCATTGGGCATTTGAAGCATTGATGGCTTATGGGAAGGATGATGAAGGTGATCGATTGGCAGTTCAATGTGGGTCCCGCGGTCTCTATCGTATCACGCGACCCGCTTCTTTGACCGTAGAAACTTCCTGCGGGCGCATCAGGTATCGTCCGCCCGCGGGGCGCGTCCAGTACCGGCGGTCAATTTCGTCGGCCACGACCGCCGCAGATCAAGAAATCAACGGACGTACTGATTCGAAACAGTTTAGTTAAATTGAAAACGAACGAACAGCATAACAACGACGTGAGGGTGCGCTATTCCTACCCCGACTATCTTCACTCATACACCCCGTGAAGCTCCACTTTCGCAAAATCTACGAGCGATGGTGGAATATGCTGGAGAATATTACGAAGAAATGGGGGTGCGGATAGAGCTACCGAAGGGTTCGCCACTTGTTCTATAAATATAGGGCAGAGCTTGCTTTTCTTCCCGTGCGGAAGACCCTCTCCTTCACGGATCTTACACCGGTGCTTCTCCTTTCCTTTCTTGGTGGAGGTCCGTCGGTGCCTCCTCTTCTCTTGAACGATCTGTGTCTGATTCGTTCTCTAAAGATCTCCTTTCTCGCCGGGGATTCTTTGATTTGACGGCGGCTATTGGATCTTCCTTTAGATCTGATCGATTCGTTTCTGCACTAGCTTGATCGGTTTTCCTTGATGTGTTGAGATGATCCTTTTTGTAGTGTTTTAATTGTTCTTTTTTGTGTTGTAGAGATTTGCGAAATCGAAGTGCTTGGCGGCATGGGTAGCTCGGATTTCTCGTGGAAATTGGCGGATCACCCAAAGCTTCCCAAAGGGAAGACGGTGGCCGTTGTGGTTTTGGATGGATGGGGTGAGGCGGACCCTGACCAGTATAACTGCATTCATGTCGCCCAGACTCCCACCATGGATTCGCTTAAAAAGGTATGCCCTTTTCTCTATCTTTCTGTAAATTATAGGTTATTTTGCTGCTATAGCAGACTCAGTTCTGGTATCATGTCTTAAGAGACTTAGGATATACGATATGGTTGCTTAGCATGACTGCAATCGGGGTTCATTGTATCAGCAAATGTTTTGAAACTCAAATGATGATAACTTAGTGATTGTTCCATGCAGTCAAATTGTTTCATGTGTTGAAT